TAAAATACTTTTTTCAATTTCATTTACTAAATTAAACGCAAATTATATGAAGTCGAAAGACTTCTAAAATACTATTGACTCATCCTCATGTCGAACCATAAATAAGTATAAAAAAATAAAAAATATCGACGTTAGTAATGACCTCTATTGATATAATATTGGTTTCGTCATTAACAAATCGTAACAGAAAAGTTTATATGACTTTATTTCTTGCCGCTTTTTAAGTTCGACCAGAGAATATTCTTTTCTAATGTCTAGTGAAGTAAGAACGGATTCTTTGTTGAAAATAAAGAATTTTTGTTTGAAATTTAGAGTGAAACAAATATTTTATATCAAGATAATGATACTATTGAAGAAAAACGTCGAAAGAATGTTATGGATAATCAACATTTTCTTGAAAGTCTTAAACTATTTAATGTATTTATTTAGTTTAATTGAATAGTCGAATATTTTCAAATTCATTTGTTCTTTAGGTTCGTGATGATTTAAAAACAGCAGTTAACTCTGCAACAACAACAAATAAACCACCGCGAAAAAAATCTAGTCGAAAAGAAATTGTCGATCAGTAAGAATTACTTAAACGTTCTTTTCAAAATCGTTCGTTGAGAAGAAAATTATTCCTAAACAGATATGAAGTGAAATCAATAAGGGTTTTTTTAAGTTTTCTGACGAGAAAAGTGCTCGTTCGAGTGTCACATGCATGTAGATGAATGCCAAACAAGTGAAGCTATCGATGCATTCTCTTAGTTTATGCTTCTGAGTACTATATTTTTACAAGCTTTGACAAGAAGAACAAAGTACTTCTACCACAAGTAATAAACAAAGAGTGAGTTTTCGCTCAATTTTAAATATTGTCAAATGGCAATAGTCTTGTTCAGCAACTATTATACCCAAGAGAAATTCAATTAGATTCATAATAGTACTGTAATTAAGTGCTATTGAAACTCTGATCAAACAAAAGTTTTAATATATGTTCGTCCGAAATTCCTACAAATTTACCGTCAGTTTTGTAATTAGATATAGTCTGAGCTATGGTGTTTCAAAATACTGTTGCAGCAGCTTTCGTTTTCAGAGAAATTGTAAAATTGTATAAAGTTGTATCCGATTTGAGTCTCTACAACTTCAACAGTCAAAATCATGGTGAATATCATAAAGTCAATCTCATTGTTCTAAGTTAGCATAGGGACGGAAGAGGTTTTTGAATAGTTTCTTGAAAACTATTGCGGCAACGGCAGATATCCAGCCACATTGGACATCTATGGTCTGAACTGCTCTATCATATCGATTCAAAATGAAACAGATTGACTGATGTTATCTGTTCATTGTCACCACAATTCACGTTTAGTATTAGTAATATGTAATGATAAATTTCAGTCAGTTAAAGAGTAGGCAGCTCTACGGTGATCGTATTAATGTTCCGTAAAGTAAAAAGAAACGAAAGATCAATCATCTATTCTCCATAGACAGTGCTAGAATGATTTAATCCTATTGCCTTAACAATAAAAAAAACCCTTTATATTCACTTTTGAAAACAATATCAAGACAGTAGCATGAGAATCAATCCTAAATTTCTTTGTTTCCATGGTAATATTTGCCAAAAAATGATTGATCGTTTTTTAAAACTAATGAATGACTCATAAAAAATGAGGATGTTCTGATTTGCTCAATATCTTCTCTAGTTTTCATTGTTTAATTATCTACCAACTTATATACGAATGGGTATCACAGAGATAAAAGTAAAAGAAATTATTATAGTAACACTACGATCAACCACACAATATAGTTCTCTTGTATTCACATGTTCTCTCGTCGAACTATATACTATGCACTTTGTAGAGCTTCAAAAACCCTATTTTATTCTTATATTCAAGAATTTTTTTTACCAAAATCTTATTACATACCATAGTTATTACTTGTTATTCAGCCCTTATGTTATGCAATAAAGTTTCGTTATGAAAATTCTTGAACATCGTAATAAGATAGACCTTATGAAACTTCACAAAACGGATAGTACAATTAATTTACATAGTCCGATATACATACATGAGAATTGTATTTTGTGTTTGAAGATTGTTGGTATAACATGTTCGCAATATTACTACAAGAATGATTTTACCTTTAATCAAGTGTTAAATCCTTTAAAAATAAATTCAGTTCAAATCTATGACAACCAGAAAATTGATGAGCCATCCGCTATTAGACAAAAATAAAATTCGTTATTGAAATAATTTTCCTTTTATCTTCAGATCCGAAATACGTCGAAGTTCTCGAATTCAATCAATGTCTCGAATCAATTACAATAATCAATCAATAATTGATGATGATGATTTTATTGTATTAACTGATGAAACATCAAATGATGAAGAAGATGATTTAAGTTCTGCTTTTACAAAAACAATCGATACAGATTGGCAACCATTACATGCAGAAAAAATAACTATTACGAAAAAAATACGACCTATTCGTAAGACTGCTAAGACAGTTTCTGAAAATGTGAAAATATTTATGCCAAATGTTGGATTACAAGCATCCAACGTCGTTTCTGAAACTAATTCTCATAAATCTTATGTATCTAAAAAAATGAATGTTGCTATTTCATCATCATCATCAGAAGAAGATTAATTTTTTTTTAGATTATTTTTGTTTTGTTTAAATAAATATGAACATTTGATTTATATATTGTAGATTTAAAAAAAATGGCTAAAGTACTTTTTATTCTATTGTTAATATTGTTTATTAATTTTTATTTTCTCAGCGAAATGTTGAAGAAATTCGTCGAAAAAATCTTGAAGAAAATCAACGTTTTCTTAATAAACTTCGAATGAATACTGTAAATATATCTTAATCAATCTTTTGCCAATGATTATTTTTTCTTTATAATTAAGATTCGAGATGATTTTCTTCAATCAGCTCGTACAGCTGTTCCCAAAGGTGAAAATAAAACAAAGCATAAAATTCATTATGAAAAGTAAATGAGAGAGAATAAATATAGATTAGTTTCATTTTAATTTGATTGTTTTTTTTTGTTTTTAGAGTCGAACGTTTAACTCGATATAATTTAAAAGTTCAATCAGGTGAAATTCAACCATTGATTCCTCAACGGCAACAAAAAATTAATAAGAAAAAAACACGTCATCCTTCAAAATGGACTTTATTTTATAAGAATATGGCTAATCCTTATAAACGTACATTTAAACCACGAATTCGAAAATAATTTTCTTGAACATATAATTAGATCTTAGATTTGTGTATATCTTGATTATATAGACTTGAAATATTTGTCTTTCAGATTAATATATATGTATAATCTTACACTTGACGATGATAAAAGTTAATCAATTACTAACTTGATAAAATGTGAGAGCCGATGCCTAGATTAGTAGTGACTGACGATGTTTTACTTATTCTTTTGCGTTTCGAAGATTTTCTTAACAAGCCTTTCAAACAAAAATATATGGTTATAGGGAAATGTACTGCGAAGAAACTTAACAGGACCATCTTTGTAAAACTATCGTAGTTGCCAAAAAATTTAAAAAACTCTACCGAATGTTCCAGAAAAAAGCATGACATATTGCCATTGTACTTTGAACGAATGAATTGAGTTTTTTTTTCTTAATAATAGAGAAGAATTCTCATTTTTCTATTTACTATTAACAAGTTAAGTAACATCTAATGATGAGTGGGACCAATCGTTTTTGGTCCCGAATCGGATCAGAAAAAGCTTTTGGCTCTGCTTTCACACTTAGTAGTACATGTAATAGTGAACAAAATGTTGTCTTTTTATTGTACTGTCCTTTTTTTTGCGAGGACTTTCATCAGTAGTCAACCAAAAAAAGAACGCAGGCACCGGATAGTGTTTGTTTTGATATGTTAGATTTTGTAAAACTTCTTTTGTTGCTCATTTCGTTAACAAAACTTTCCTATTTTTATCAATAAATGAAGCTAATAAGGTCAAAATACTTGAATAAGTCAAACTGCTCAGAGATGCTCCAGACCTATTTATTTGTTTTTTTTTAGTATTAGCTTTCAACAAAGTTTCATTACAAATTCTCTATGAAATACTAAGAGCAAAAAAATAAAAAAAAGACATCAGTACTGCTTTCATCTTTGTGCTAGACTATTAGAATATTGTTGACGATAACAGCTCAGTCGATCAGCTTACAACTTTAATCTTGATAATTAATATCTTGTTTGTTGATATCTAATTTAGTTCGTACAAGACATGCCGAAGATATTCAACTTTTTCTTAAAATACTTTGCATAAATAATGTAAATTTAACTTCATAAATCTACCAATTCTTGATTTTTGTTTTAAATTAAAATTCGAAATTATTTTCTTCATCATGCTCGTTCAATTCTTCATAAACAGAAAAATACTAAAATTCCTATTAAACATAAAAAGTAAATTTTCATTTAAATGCAACAAAACAATGAATCATTTTGTCAATTTGTTTTTCTAGAATTAAATATTCAACTCGATATAAGTTGAAAGTAAAATCTGGTGAAAATTTGTCCTCATATATCTAAACGACAACCACAAATTCACAATAAAATATTGAAAAAAGAACAAGAAAAACAAGAAAGAAATGAAAAAATAAGAACAATTACAAGAACAAGAATTAAGAAAAAAAACGGGTTAAAATTAAAAAAAAAACGAAAAACCATCCTCCTCTGTCAAAATGGACTTTGTTGTATAACGATAATGTTAATCTGTATCAACATATATTTCAATTACATCTTACAAAAGCCAGATGAACGTATTTAACGAGAAATGATTGAATCTTCAAAATAAAATAGTTAATATTTGTATTTTCATTTCGTGCATGTATTTGTTTTTTTTTTGTATTGATACAACTTATTCAAATAATTCACATTATCAACTATATTTATCTTTCAGATTCATCTCTGTTCCACTATCGTATTTTAAACTTTACATATGATTTAAGTAATGGAGTAATATTTTTCTAATTGAATAGTTATTTATTAATTTTTAATAGGTTATGTCGTCTCCTAAACGTGATGAACGTAATGTAGAAAATATTCGTCGAAAAAATTTGGAAGATAATCAACTTTTCCTTCAAAGACTTCTCATGATTAATGTATGTTTTCTTTCAAAAATATTTCATCGATCACTTTTTTTTTCTCTTGATCAAGATTCGAAATGATTTTCTCAATTCAGCTCGTACAGTTCTTCGTAAAGATGGAAGTAGTCAGATCAAGAAAAAAGTTTCTCCTCAAAAGGCAATGTAAGTTTTTATATAAAGAAACATTTCATAATGGGTATTCATTGACGATAAAACCATCCTAAGTGTAAATCTATGGAAATAAAAAATTCGACTTCCAAAACTATACGAGCTTTTAGAAATTTCATATTGATTACTGGAATCGAAAATTATTACTGCCGACGAGATAGGGTTCTTCTTTCTCAAGATTGACTGAATCCATATACATTAAAGGCAAAGAAATTATGGACATATCTATAATCTTTTGGTACCTACTGGAAATTCTTCATAAATCGACTTGAAATTTCTTTTCATGTTTTATTTTCTTCAAAAACTGGTTGAGAAATTTATTTGGATAAGGTAGTAATTACAGTTATGTCCTTGATATTCGTTGCTTGATTCTTGGTTTTTTCCATCATTTTCTGATAGCTTTCCAGGACTTTTGTTGCAGATATTTCTAATTTTTGAAACTCAATAGAAAATTGCTGATCGAAGGATTCTAAATGGCGAAATGACTGGAAAGTGATCGTCTAGTGCTTTAGCAATTCTCTAAATCACATAGAAAGTTCTACGTGTCATATGACTGATTACCGAAGTTCCTTGGAAATTCACTTTTCATGTCTCGGTATATTTCAGTATTGTTTTATGAGTTTCTGAAATTTGATGATTAATGAAAGAAAATTCTTTTTTTCAGAAATCTGAACATTGCTGTTGTATTTCAATCTCAAATTCTGACACCATTCTAAGACCCATCCGATCTTCTTTTTCTAGTATTACCGGAATGCATTGCTATAAATAAAACATAGTTGTACTTCATGTTTTTCTCATAATACTCAAAAATTACAAACTACAGTCCAAACAGTTAGATTTAGATTAACTTTTTTAAATTTTAAATGATTTAATCCAAGTTGTATCACCTGCGATACTTATCGATTTTTTTATAGAAAAATAACTTTTATTTAATGTTTAGAGGCGAATATGTAACTCGATACCGTGACAAATTAAAATCCGGTGAAATTGGTCCGTATGTACCTGAATGGCAACGTCATAATGAAGCAAAGAAAAAGGAAACAGAGAAGAAACTTTTAGAAAAAGAACGAAAGAAATTGGAATATGAACAAAAAAAGATGGAAAATGAACGAAAAAGACAAGAAAAACAAATAAAAAAGCAAGAAATATTATTTGAAAGAGAATTGAAAAAAGTCGAAAAAATATTAAAAATAGAAGAAAAACAAAAAATCAGACTTGCTAAACGACGTCGTCACAAATCATCGAGATGGACTGTTTTTTATAAGAATAGTGTTAATGGTAATCCTTATCAACGTATATTCAAACCAAGACATACAAAAGTGGATGAACGAATTCAACAGAATTTATTTTAGTTTTTTGCAAACTCAATTAGTCAACGATTTATTATTTTAGATTTGTATATACACATTTATTTATTATTGTTATAGTTTAGATACTTGTTTTTTTTATATGATTTATATGATAAGAAATGAAACTATTTTACCTTGATAAAACAATGAAAAATTTATCAAAATCATTCAACCCGAAATCTATTATTTTTTCTTATGATAATAAGATGTGAAATGATTTCGTCATAGAATTTTTATTGATCAAAAACAATGCAGATTCTATACAGAAAATTATACCATATTCATAGACACCAAAAAATCTGTGAATCTAGAGGAGGCTCAAGAATCTTAATGAGAACCTCATTCAAAAGTTAAAGATAGAAAGAAAAAGTGCGAATCATTTTTATGCCTTTGACATGACATACAGTTAGTACTTCTTTTTTTCAACTCACATTTGGCATTATATAAAGTTGGTACAGTTCAGACAAGATACGCATCTTGTGTCAAAAGCATGCACTTGATCAAACATGCTGACATTTATCTTTAATTGAATTCGACTCTTGAAAAAAGTTTTAAATCTACTTTCCTCTAAAACAGAATAATTTTTTTGAAAGTGTTTCTCAAGTTTACTAGGTAAGTCCTCCAATTGATAAATTGTTTTTCAGTTGAGGCTACGTCCTTCATGTAGACCCAAATGAACTATGAATACTCTAGAAAGAACATGTGATTTCAGTTTATTACTGCGGAGATACTTCACTTTTAAGATATTGTTTTAATAAATACTGTGGCCCCCTAAGGAACATCAAAAAAAGTTGATTTTCGAATTTTGACTTGATACTTTTCACGGAGACAGATCTTCACGAGAATAGGTTTATTGTGAATGCTTCCAGTCCTTTGATTTGCTTCTACCATAAAATAGGAACATAAAATCTACCAATTTATATGAACGATGTGAAGAACACACGATTGCCCTAATTGTATCTTAGGATAGGAGTAGTGGCAAGATTTGAAACACTCTCGAACAACTACTCTTATTCAGGTTTGTTTCTTAATAAATTTTCAAACAAAAACTAAAAAATCAGTTTTTTCTGGTGTTTCTGGAGGGAATCACGGCATTCATTTAAAAAGCGCCGTAAAAGTACAGCATCTTCGCAGTAATAAGCTAAGATCATTAACTCTTTTCAGATTATTCATGACTCATTTGAGTCTATATAATGCAAATCATCTCGTCGCAAAAGCGATTTGTCAGTTCGAGGATTTCTCTTGTTAGCCACTGAAGACGAAGAAAATTTTCGACAGTTTCTTTTAGTTAACCTAACTCTAGTTTTTGATGCAAATCTTCTTCGCTTGTAACAAAGAAGTTCTAGTTCAATTCATTAACAATATAAAACGTAACATTTTTTCAAGCATCTTTTCTAAGTATATGTTACTGAGAAGAAAATACTTCTATTTTCAATCGAAAAACTTTAGACTTTCTTACAAGAATTTTGATGTACTACAGGAATCTATCAATCTCATGGAATGAGAAACAAATTTTTGAGTCTACACACAAGCCAATGGCTGTACTCCTCTTTGACAAACTAAATGGATGATGTGAAAAGTCGAGTTCTTCTTTGAAAAAAAAAAATAGCTCCCTAAATATTTCAAATTTTTAAAAGATAAGATTGACAATAAGTGATCAATTTAGAGATTTCATCCACAAAGAATTCCATCAGCCACATTAAAAACAAAATTTATTTTTTAATCAATCTATTAATCATAACAAATCTTTATATTAGATCACTGAGATCTTATTGTCCTGATGTTTTATAATGCATGTATATATATATCTGTTCATACATGACATCGTATAACACCTTCCTGAGCACATGTTACAATAAGCCGTCCATTTCTAGACCATATTCGACCAAAAGTCCAAGCACGATTATTCATATGAATAGGACATTCTAATTCATACAATAACCAATCATCAGCACGTACAGGTACTTTAGATGGAATAGGCGGTATATCTGAACTACGTCGAACCGGTTTTGTTATAACTTTTTCTTCAATAACATTATTGTCATTTGTTGTATCAAAAATAAAATCATCATGAAACCACATTGAATGATCAAGTGATGCTTGCATTTTAATTCGACGATTATAAGGATTAACGGCATATGGAAGAAAAGCACTATGTAATAAAACTCGATCACTACAATAAGCAACAGCTGATCGATGTATATGTGAATAATCAGGTAAAGGATCTAATGATTTTATCCAAACAAGTTCTCGTGCTGGCCATACAGGTTCTGGTTCAAGTAAATCACGTTGATGACAATGTCGCACATCAATGCGTGCCGGTATTTGAAGTGCAAGTTCAATTAATGGTTTAAGTTCCGGTTTAAGACGTTTATCATCAAGAAGATTTTGAAAATGATCATGCATTGAAAGAAGTTTTTCAGGTGGTGTAACATCTGAAAAAAAAAGAAACAAAAGAGAATAAATGATTATATTATAGATTTTATTGATGTCAAATAAATAAAACTTACCGGTATGAGGCATAGGTAATTGATGTTCCATATTACCTTTTTCTGTTTGATGAAAATTCATTGAACATTCAAATACAATACGATTATCTTGTCGAGCTGTTACACTTCGTGTTTCAAATGATTGACCATCACGTAATCGAGCAACTGTATATGATATATCTGATGAATTATCAGTTGCTGTTAAAAAATATGAATGAAGACTATGTAGTGGAAAATCTCTTGTAAGTGTTTTTTGTGCTGCATATACAGCTGAACCAATTAATTGACCACCAAATACACTTTTTCGATTAGGAAATACGAATAATGAATCAGCAGGTTGAATAAAAACGTCAGTTGAACTTTCAATGACTTTAAGTGTTTCATAAAGTGTTGGTCTTTGTGATGATAAACAACGATGAATGATAAAATTAAATATTGAACGATGTTTTAAAAGAGAATATGTAAAAAACTTTGAATTGATAGTCATTTTTTATTCTATTGTAAGTAAGAATATAGTAGAGTTATATATTATACTACGATCATTCTTTTTCGTTCTTCATACAAAAAGTTCGAAAGTTACACACGTGGTAGTTTTTTTTTATTATTATTTTTCGTTCTTTTGCATCCTTTTGAAATACGCAAAGAAAAAAGAAAAAGAGTCGAGTACATTTTGCATTTCTTCAAATATCAACGCAAATGCAAACCCTTACGCTGTAAAATTCGTCCAAAAAGTCATAATATCAAACGTTTTTCCATTTTATAATTTGAAACCTAATTGATAAACATTATATAATTTGATCTAAAAGCAAAGACAGTATGCAACTATTGGAGTTTATTTAATCTAAAGATACTGCGAATGCGTATGATAGTTTCTTCGCATATTATTAAGTATAAAGTCGAATTGTGTGTATTCAATAGTATTTCTTTTTAATCTGTTCAATTTAGTTTTAACGATAACATACATTGTTAAAATGAAATATTCATTGTAAAAATAATTTGTTTAAATACAACAAGAAGAAAATTAAAACTCAGTCAGTTGGATGTGTTTGAATTTTAAAACTTATAACAATAAAAATCCTCGAAATGATATATCATTTTTCATTTGATCTTCTGGCAATATGTAAAAGACACTTTCACATCTGTATTTATACTGTTCAATAGAACAGTTTTTTTTTAAAATCTTCCATTCTAAATAAAGATACCCATATTTGTTATTATTACTGTTTTTTGCCGTTTAGCTTATAAAAATAATCATCCTTTGAAAGAAAGATTCAATTGTTTGCCATGAAAATACAGCACGAATATCCTAAGATGCTTTTCAATGTGCAGGAATCATAAAGATGTGCATCAGTTAGTCTTTGATTGCAAATAAATTTTGGTAGAACTAGAGCTAGAGAGCTATTTGAGAGTTTTTCAATTTGAAAGAGTCTCTGCCACAACACGGTCTCATGTATGATTTTTATCAATGTCGATTGGTGCCCGAATCGTAAGTCAATAGGCTTCAGAAAAATATTAATAGTTCTATGAAGGTAACAAAAAAGTTTCATTCTAAAAAATACACTAGTTTCGCATGCTCGCAATCCACATCGAAAATCGAAATTTTTATCGAGACCCGTTTAAGAGTTATAGATACAATTCTTGTCTGTGAAAGTGTGAATGAGAATCGTGAATCTACAAACTTAGCACATTTTTCAAACTAAACTTCTGTGTCATCGTCATAAAGCTATCAATATTTTTCTGAAGGCTACTGACTAATAATATGATCATTAATCGGTATCGTTAAATTATTCATTGAATCATGCAGCAAGACGGTCTCTTTCGAACTATGAAAGTTGCAACGTCTATCTTTTTAATAAAGTACCAAGTAGAACATGTTGATAGTCGGTTGTGTATGCATTTGGACTCCTTACTTAACGTATTTTTCGCTATAATGAAATTTTTATTTTATGAGTTTGGGTATGGATCTGGTTGTTTATAAGGATGAAAACAACAATAGGATCCAAATCCACATTGAGCCGCTCAAATAGTAGTTCACCGAATGCATGCTCAAAAGATCAGTAGCAGTTCTATTTGTCATTTCTGGTGATACGCCATTGTTATACTTTGAAAGACTTTTATTAACAATAAAATAAGCAAAACAAATTTTGATGAAAGATCAATATGATAGGTTCAATAAACAATTCACCGTGTGAAGCTCCTACCAACTATTTCACTTGAACATAGATTACGTTTGAACGAATAGAATCATTGCGCTCGGCTTTCAGTGTCTTTAAGCCCCTTGTCATGAAAGTAATCTTCACCTTTCCATGGGAGTCTGATTTATATCCATCTACGTTCGCACCTGAGATTGGTGCACCTGTAGAGCCATCTGTGACATAGAATATTTGTGTCGAACGACGACGAGCAGTTAGGGGTCCTGTAAGCTTGAGAAAAAATTGTTTGCTGAATGCATCAAAGGCGAAAAGAACTTCATCGTTAAGGTGGACACGTGTTTGACAGCCTCCAACTGACGTG